GTTTTTATTGGTAAAGAGACAGGTTCCAGGGAAGAAGAGATACTAGGAAATGTATTAAGCTACTGTTGTTTAATATCAAGGAAGCAGAGAAAGTTGTTTCTTTTACCCTTTTTTCTTTTTTTTACAGTGTTTTTTTTTTGCTTTTGCTTTTTAAATTTTTCTTATTTTTTTTCTTTGTATTTCTAACCTTTAATAAAATTATTACAAAGAAAATAAAAAATCAAAACAGGAAGAGCATTGACAACTTTGCTGCTTTGCTGTTGAGTATACCATGGCAGCCAAGAAAATAAACTACTGAATCATCAATCAAATCAACAGTTCTCACTTAAGGCACAAATGACTAGATTCAAATTATCCTACTTCAGATACATCGTGCAAAAATCCAGCTCTGTGAAAAAGAATCTAATGATGGGAAAGGTGGAAAGAAAGAGAAGAGGACAACCAGCAACCTGGATAGACTCAATTACAGTATGATGAGGGCACCATTAGGAAACTTGGAAGAACAGGTTAGGATACATCATCATGGCTGTGTGGTTGTTAGGAATCAAAAGCAACTTGATGGCACGAACAAGCTATGTGAAAAAGATCTTCTACCTTTAAGGAACATTACAGGTCTATTCCTCCCATAACTCATCACAACAAAAGCAAAAGATGAGAATGAAGAATAGGCATGTCTTCTCATGGTTCCACATTCCTGGTTGGAATGAAGGAAGAAAATCCTCTCTCTTTTTAAAGTCACGTAACCTGTGGGACGGGAAAAAAGAAGGGCAACACGCAACCTTCCATTTTGTCCCTAGACATTCTCTTTGCTATTGCCCGAATAGGCTTTCAGGTCTTTCTAAACTGATACTTGATTTGACTTGAGTAGAAATTTAGCTGAATAGGAATTCATTGGGGGGAGGGGCATGAGAGAGAGGGGAGGAGATCAAGCAATCACTTCTTTCCTAGGAATATCCAAAAATGTCTTTATTTATTTCCCACATTCATTATCCTTTTGGAGCAGGAGAAAGTTCAATAAGCAGCAACATTAAGGTTGACATTTTAAAACTCGCGTTACCAAGCTAAAGAACATTTTCGCTCAGAAACAAATGATGCTTCTTACTAATAAGGGAACAGCAATTCACTACCTTGGAGATTTGTTTGTGGGGAAGTGCAGGGAGAGGAATGGAAAATTAACCATCCCATCCCTGCGTTTACACAGCTGAATGTATGCAGTGTACTAGAGGCTGCATTGTAGATAAAAGGGCAAGAACAGGCATGCTAAGTAAACAGAAGAGCATAGTGAACACATATGTTGTGTGCAAACAATATTCAGTCTACTTCGATGGATTCAGTGAACAATAGGGCCATATATAATTCTGGTTTGACTGGGCAGACTCTTAGCTACAATGATTCAAAGCAGAGGTTGCTGTACTCAGCTTGCAGTTCAGCAAACAGCTATTTTGAAGGCCATTGTGTTGAAGAAGCTTCTCACATATCTTCCTAGCAACCTGCCAAAGAATGGGTTGGCTGTTTACCCGGGAGATTTTGCTACTGGGAAAGGGAATACCTAGGAGCTGGTTTGGCAAGCAAAGGACAAGAAGGCCTGGAGGAACGTTGTTCATGGGGCCCAGGGGTGGGATGTTACCAGTTCTGCCCGACTCTATAGAACCGGTAGCTCTGAAGAGCAGCAGACACCGAACCAGTTCTTTGTCTGCTACTGTTGGCCCAGGCTCTTACCTGTCCTTTATTTCCTGCTTTTTCAACCTCAGCTGCTTTGCGCGGCACAGCTGAGGTTGAAAAAGCAGGAGAAAAGAGGCTTTCCAAACGCTGTGCACTGCGCTTTTCAGCTCTCCAGGCAACACAGCTAAAGGGTTTTTTACACGCGCGTGCAGCGCAATGCAACGTCACCAAACCGGCAGTAACACCAGTTGCATCCCACTACTGATGGGATTGCGATGGCTCAGACACGAGTTCGTAATTAGCAACAAAGGGAGCTTAGTTTTGAATTGTGAAAGGATAGCTGGAGGGACAAGGATTACCATTCTGTTCAAGATCTGGAAGGATAGGGGATGTGCAGTATTATTGAGCCCAAAGTAGCCTGCTTTAAAAGTTTAGATTCTTGTGTGTAGGAGTCATAAAAGGGAAACCTTTAAAGTTATGGTTTGAAACATTTCCATTTTTATCTGAATATGTGTCCTCCTGTTTATGCTTCCACATGAATTAGTGTTTGGAGGTAAGGGATATACCGCATACATGTCTACCTAAAGCTCCTTAAAGTTTTTTGAGTGTTGCTTTGTAGTTATGATCATAAGTGATATGCAAAGTTGAAAACATTAGAAGTGTAATTCAAGATCATGACTTTAACGTAAATGATATGTGGGATTAAAATGAAGTCTTGAAAATTACAAATCAGCCATTCCTAACCTTATCATCTAATGATTAAGAATTGTGAGCTAAAAGAATGCAGCATTTAATTATTTTAAATCACCATGTGAGTTACCCTTAGGATTATAGAATCATAGGATTGGAAGGGACCTTGCAGGCTGGTTAGTGCTTGAGCAGGAGACCTTATATGGACGGATTCTCTCATCCCTTCTTGAAAATCTCCAGCAATAGAGCATCCACAACTTCAGGAGGAAAGCCGTTCCACTGATTAATTGTTCTCACTGTCAGAAAATTTCTTACAAGATCATCTGTGTGTCTTTCAAGCCGCTGACAACCAGGAAGTGGGATTACAAGGACTGCAGCGATCTAAATTAGAACCATGCCCCATCCTTACTCTTTACAGAGCAAATATAGGTTCTCCATCCCTTATAATAGCCTGTAGCTATTGATTGCAAACTTTCAATCACCAGGAGCTTAACTTTTGGCAGGGGTGAAAACTACATTGTATTAGACAAAGATGCAAACTAGAGTTTTCAATTTCATGTTTTCTTTAGACTTAGGGGGTACTTTTGAGATTTTCTTTTGTTTTATAAAAACCTATGCAACATTTGTTTCAGACTTACTGTACATTACAGTACAGTAAGTCTAAAACAAAAAGCTGTGTCATTGTTTAGTGCTCAGTTCAGAGGAGAAAATGGGAGCTGTACAAAAGGAAACTGGAGCTTCAAATTGCCATAATTGGTATACAGGCTGAACCAGAACAAATTAATTTCTGTTTCTGCAACAGAGCTTCCTATTTCCCAATACATTCCATTGCACACAAAGTTCAAAAGATTAATTACACCCCCTTGATATAAAAATGAGGCATGATTGTGAATGGGGTAGTGTAGAATTCCTACAAGATTTCAGTCGGATGAAGAAAACACATATGATTTAATTTGAACATGTGACTGCCCTGTTCACACAGTTTGCAGGCACATTGGGACACGTCATGGAAGAAGAATTATGTGAAGAGTACTTTCCTACTGTGACCTTGTGACTGTTGTAACTACCAACCTGTAATATACATAATGTCTAGTTTCATACATCCTTCCTAAGAAATATTTTATTGTAGTTTGTAATGATTTCCTACTGCTTCATTTCCTCCCAAGGTAAGGTTAGTCCCAACCTTATTGGCATTTAGGAAATCCCTCAAAACATGGCTTTTGACAGGCTTGAGGGTCCCAGGGAAATAGGGATCCTGCAAGATGGTTATACTGTGTGTACCATGCTGGTCTATTTCCTGCAGTCTTATACAGGGGTACCTTGGTATTCAACTGCTATGAAACTCATCAAATTCGATACTCAATGCATTTTGACATGAAAATTTTATCCCAGTACTTATCATTTGTTTGGTAGTCAAGGCAAAAGCTAGAACTTGTTGATGTGACTCACTACATTATTCCTAATAGGAAAAATTAATTAACTAATTAAGGATGAGTACTGAAGTATCATTGTATTTGTATTTAAATTTTGTTTACTTGTTGTTATATACCTGTTTTAATTTAGTTTAATTGTTTTATTTGTACACTGTCCAGAGACACATTTATGAGATGGGTGGATGTATAAATATGATAAATAAATAAGCAAACAAAAAAAATCTTTACAGAGACTTTACTTTTCTTTAAACCAGAAACACCCGGGATTTTGTTACTGTAAATAAAAATAGTCTTAGTACTATTTTTAGTTAGTACTACAATAGTTAGTGTACTCCCTTTGGTTTCTTGTCTGGACCACTCCTGAAAGGCGGATATCAGACTTGCAAGTTTCAAAGCACTTCTCCCACCCTTGCCTTTACTTTCTAGACAACTAAGGAGAGTTTCCTCTGGGATGCTTTCCCTGTCCCCATTCCTTCTTGTGGGCTGAGTTTTTTTTTATTCTGACCATTATCTAGGCTGCAGCTCTTCCAGTTTCTGTGTCTCAAGGTGATTCTCATAGCCTATTACAATATATTTGGGTAGTTGGTATGGTAAAAAATATGGCAAATTATTAACTTCACTTACTTGCAAAGTTGATTGGAAATATTTGTGACATTCCAAAAGTAAGCTGTTCCTCCAATCTTTTCTGCCTGTAACTCCTGACCCACTAGAGCTCTTGAAATGTAACTCTTTTGGACTATATAGTACTATTAACAATATGTTTAAATATAGAGTAAAGCCAGGAAATACATGAAATACAGAAGATCATGAAATAAATAATAAAAAACAAATAAAAGCAATAATATAAGAGAGCCAGTTTGGGCTAGTGGTTAAGGCATGAGGCTAGAAACTGGGAGATCATAAGCAAGTCACCCCACAATAATTTTTTGTGGGGAAAATAGAAGGAGGAAGTCATATTAGACATGTTTGCCATCTTGAGTTATTTATAAAAATAATAATAAAAACATGAAATATAAAATAAATAATTCACATGTCAAGAATTTGAAATGACTTGCTATGTTGGAGGGGATCAGATTGGCCATGGTTGCCCCCCTCTGTTGCCTAGCCTTATTGCCATGGACCCCCCAGTTGTATTCAGTATAATTATACTGTTCTTTTTCATGTTAGGATTTGATAGCGGTTCTTTTTAATGCTACTTCCTTTTTCTCCCTCTAGGCTCTAATTCTTCATCAGCTTGGCCGGTACAGCTTGGCCGAGAAGATCCTTCGGGATGCTGTCCAGGTGAACTCAACAGCCCATGAGGTTTGGAATGGCCTTGGGGTGGTTCTGCAAGCTCAGGGTAACGATGATGCAGCCACGGAATGTTTCCTGACGGCCCTGGAGCTTGAAGCCAGTAGCCCTGTTGTCCCTTTCACCATCATCCCTCGAATCCTTTGAAAGGCAGGCTGCTCATCCTGTTTCAGCTGAACTTGAGAATGTGAGGACGCCTATGAGCGAATCTTTCCTTCTGACTCCAAGGGGCAGCTCTTCACCCTGAGAGGTAACAAATACAACTGCAGGCAATCTGCTCATTTCTGTCGGGTGTCCAACGCGGGAAAGCAATATAGGATCTTAATCAGTGAAGAAAAAATGGAAAAGGGAAGGAAATAAATACACATGCACACTTTAAGCCACCATGTATGTATTGTCTACATTTTTTGCCACATAGTCATTTCGAAACCTGATGCTTATTGTTCAAATGGATATTGTGCCATATTTTGTTAGGTGACATCAGAGTGTTATGTAAAAACTCTAAATAGAATCAGTGATAGATAATAGATTCAAGTTAAAATTCAGTGGCAGAGCAAGCCTATTTTTAACCAAGCCTGTCAAAGACCTGTTCTCTTCATGGCTTTCAACCTCTCTGGAGCTCAGAAACAAAATGTGAAATTTGCTGTGTTCCATCTTCTATGGTAGTCCAGCCCAGCAAATCAGCTGAAAGGTTATGTTTTGAGTTGTTAATAGCTGTGATGTGTAGCTAATTGTTATTTCTTGTATTTAGAAGAAAGATTGTGTACAAGAATATTTATATTTTACCAGCGTATGCCTGTTGAAAGAAAAAAGAAATGAAAATATTAGTTATTTAAGTTTAACTTTTTTATGTGAATCCAGAGTTTATTTATCAATGGAAATATGTAAAAAAGATGCTAAAAATAGAATATTTACTGACATTCCTTATGAAGTATACACTACCTTGGCTCAATGGAAAGATTATGTTAATAATAAAATGATTTTTGAATGCATACAATGCTTGTCATTTTTATTTGATAGTTGGATGAAAATAATTAGAACTGACTCATCATATAGCCAAATTACGTGCATCTCAGTTGAACTACTATTGATCATAAGTATATTAAACAATAATATATTACATCATTAGTTATTATTCATTAATGAGTTATTACTCATTAATGCTAATTAAATGATTAAAGCCAAATATCTTTGATAAAACTCTTAAAGCAGTTGGATTTGGTTTTGTCATGGATTCCTGAAAAAAGATCCATATTTTAATGAATAATTTATATGTGCACAACTATAATATAAACAGTATTCTAATATTTATATTTTTAATATTGATTAGGTGTTTATTAATTTACTTACTAACTACATTTATTGTTAAGATATAATGTGTATTATACATACAATAGTGTACATTTCTCACATTTTGAGGGGTATTTTGTATTCTCTGAACTGCCTGAAATAAATACACACACACACACATACATATATATATTTGTGTGCATTTACCATATTTTTCGCCCCATAAGACACACCTGACCATAGGACGCACCTAGGTTTAGAGGAGGAAAACAAGAAAAAAAGTATCACGCGGTGCCTGAGTGGATCACAGATAGGTGTCCTCTCATGTGCCTGCTCTGCCTATTGACTCCTGCACTGCGGAAAAAAAGACAGAAGAGGTGGGGTTCAACACTGCTGCCGCGGCCCGGCTGCTATTCACCAAAGGACTGGCACTGGTCCACCATTGGGGAACCCTGAGGTAATACACTTGACGATCTGTGACACAATATTTACTCCATAAGACGCACAGACATTTCTACCCATTGTTGTGGGGGGGAGTGACTCTTATGGAGCAAAAAATACAGTGTATCCTGCTAGAATCCAGATCTTCCTGTATCAGTTAAGGCTGCCATTGGCATATCAGCCAAAGCTGGGCAAAGAACCTTCTAGCCTCAGCTTCCTCCTGCTTCTAGAAAAGGCTTCATGAATATATAAGGTCTCCCTAAGCATGAACCTGCTGCTTTACAGCTAATGCAGGCCCATGCAGACTAACACTCCATTGATAGACAACCATGAATAAATAGCAACTCCATAAGTGCCATTGTAACTTCAAATAGTCACTAAGTGAACTGTAGTAAGTCAAGGACTACCTGTACATTTGGGTATCATCAGCATATTAATGATACTTTACCTCAAACTGGAAGCGGGGGAAGATGACAGAGCATAATGGCACCCCTAAGGTCATTGGGCCAAACTTCATCCTTCTCCAATATAGACTGAATTTTCCCCCCTTAAGAAGAGCAAAACAACTGTAAAATAGTGTTCCCAATTCCCAACCTCTGCAACTAAGCCAAGTAACATACATGGCCAATCATATCAAAAGCTGTCAGGAGGTCCAAAAAGTCAGGAGAATGCATACCCTCCCCAGGTCCTGGAGTCCATTAAGATGACTAAAGCCATCTCACCTCATACCTGTGTCTGATTCCCTGATCAAAAGAGATCAAGATCACCCATTTCTAGAATGTTGTGTAGGAAGTTGACCACTTCCAGATCAAAAACGTCCCCCCACCCCCAAAAAAAGAAAAGTTATATAAGTCCCCTCAGATCCAGGCATGACCCCTTTCAAAAAAGAAAAAAAAAAGGTGGTGGGTGGTGGTGGTGAACCACAGCTTTCAAAATTTTAGGCAACTCCTATAGCAATGGATTGACAAGATTTGAATGGATTCCTTGAGTCAGCTGCTATGCCATTATTAGTAATACAAGCATATAGATACATATTTTAATACTGCCTAGCACAATCCTATGCAGTTATTTATTGTCATTGTTGTTTTAAAAAGCCATTATGTTCAGGGACAAATACTTCCAGACAGAATTGCAAACCAAAAAAGCCATTTGAAAGATTGTAGTCTTTCACCTCTAATTTAATACAATTTCTTTCTATGTGTTCTTATCCTAAAATGCAAGTTAGATATTTGATTTAAGTAAAAGGCCAGCTCCATCATTAAATTAGATGTTCCTTGGTACTAACATACTGGTTCGATCTGTCAAGAGTCCTCGAAATAAATGCCCACTCAATTCTTGATTATGCTTTCTTTCTGCTTCCCTGTGCAAATAGTCATTTGGCTCTTTTCTTTGATTAATGCCAATTCTCTCATTAGTTCAACTAATGTAGTGTAAAAAAAGCATCATAGCATTTTAATTTTTCCCTTATAGCAACAGTTTGCAAGAATACTGCAGGTGTCTCACACAAACAGGATGCCAACAGTTGAACAGAACCCAAGTTGTGTTGAATCACAGGAGTTCTCATTGTAAAACGTCCAGTATTTTCCTGTTTTCTCTTGAAATCAGCAAGAACAAGATGTTAGCGATTGTTAATGACAATTTTAAAATCATTTTCAAAAATGTGCCGATCTGCAGAGACCACTTTGGGAAGGGGATGAACAAGATGCCACTGATAGGCACCATATTGCTAATTAGGGGACTGGGCATGGCTAGTCAGGTGACAAGAAGGACCAGGGGAGACATGATAGCAGTGTTCCAATATTTGAGGGGCTGCCACGGGGGGAGGGGGGGGGTTTCAAGCTATTTTCCAAAGTACCTGAAGGCCAGACAAGGAATAATGGATGGAAACTGAACAAGGAGAAATTCAACCTAGAAATAAGGAAATTTTCTGACAGTGAGAACAATCAACCAATGGAACAGCTTGTCCTCGGAAGTTGTGGGAGCTTCATCACTGGAAGCTTTCAAAAAGAGACTGGACTGACATCTGTCAGAAATGGTGTAAGGTCTCCTGCTTGGGTAGGGGGTTGGACTAGATGACCAACTCTGTTAACCTGTTAAATCCAGGTAACATGGTACTTTTCAAAAGCTTTTGAAGATGATATTTCTTCTTCAGTCAAAATAATGGCCATTCTATTTGAAAGGGAGGGAAGCAACTCCTATTAACCTACAAGTGGTCTTCGCTTGGCAGCCACCCTTGGGACCAGTAACTCTGTTGCTAAGATCGTGATCGCTAAGCAAAACATCACAGGATCATGGCATACAATGTCACTTTCCATTTGGTTGCTAAGTGAGTCGGTGTGATTTGTTAAGCATCCCATGACTGCAATTGCACTGCTGAATTCTCCACTGACTCTGCTTTCCAGAAGCCAGCTGTAAAGGTGGCAAATGGCAATCACGTGACCAGGTCTCAGTCATGCCACACATTCTATCACCAACTGTTTTATGATAATTTTTATGTTATAAAGTGTTTTATAAAATTTGCCAAATTTCAATTCCACAGGTGTCGTGGGTCCCAGATTTTAGATGGACGCTGTAAGTTAGCCCATTTAGGATACTTGGTTCAACAACTGTTGCTTTATGGTGTAGCGTTTTGCCCTGTTGAAAGATACTGGAAAGAGTTTTAATAGTATAGGGGTGTTTTTTAAAACAAAAAAAGAAAGAACTTCTCCCTTTATCCACAGCAAGTATATTCAATATTAACAACTTATCATTGCCTATTGAGAGATAACAAATACATCTTCATTCCATATGTACTTCATATTTTATAGACCCATCTAAAGAGTTTTAATTTTGAAAGAACCCTGACAGAGTGCACTATATCTATCTGATTGTAATCATTTGATACTTCTGACTATCAAAGCAATGTTAGAATGATTTGCTGCTAGTCATTACCTTTAAGATTTATTCCTGCTAGAAGAAGCCCTAAAGCAGAACTTTCTCTTAAATCTGCCAAAGTTATTTTGAGTTGCATCTTTGTTATTCTTTTACTAATAATGGCTTTTACAACTCCTTTTCTCTCAAGTGATTTTTTTTTAAAAAATATTTTAACCTGTATTGTATTGTAAAGTTTTTTTTCACAGCCTTTCAACATGTTTATTCTTCTAATCTCTCCAAAATGTAAAGTTCTTTGAGCAGATTGCAAAAGTACTTTAAACAAAAGGTTTATTTAAAAAAAAAACCTTTAAAAAGAATAAATTTAAAAACACAATCACAAGTACAGGAAATATTTTGAAGCATGATGCCCTTTTATTAACAATTTCTATTCTGAGTAGAGAGTATAGTGCAATTTATTGTTGTTTCTTTCCCAGTATTATCCCATTGGAGAAATGGGAAGATTGGCTCTTGCTGCCTTGCCAAATAGAAAGAAGTTTCTTCCCACTCTCACAGTAAAAATCTCAAAAGTTGGGCAAAAGGATCTGTAGGCTACAAGTTTAATAAAACCAAGCTACTTTCACCCCTAGGACAAATATTTCTAAGCCTTGAATTGGTATGTAAATCCATTGGGCATAACTGTCATTGTTCCTTATCCTGTTTGTCTGCTTCATGTCATTGCTTCATTATGGATAAAGGTGTCATCACCCATAAAGAGTCTCCTGGGCTTTGAGAAAGACAGAACAATCTATATTCATGAGTCTAGGGAGAAAGAAAAACTGCCTGCCCAGATCCATAAGGGCTAAATGGAGAATTCCTAAAGAAGCCTCTGGAATTGGAGAAAATAAAATGATAAGAAAAAAGAGAATGCAAAGGGGTATTTGTAAGCCACCAATAAAAGCAGAAATTCACTGGAATTTTAGCCCCTCTCTTTGAATGATGTCATTATGAACTTTCTGCAGCATTTTGTCACTGAAATGTGTACAAAAAAAATAGGTGAAGGAAACAGACTGGAGATGAGCAGAGACTGAGAGCCATATTAATTTTTGCAGAATATGAGGTTTTTGATCAGCTAACAACCTTAAATTTATTCTGCTCCTTTAAAATAGGGTCTGTTGGGTATCTGCATAAATACACTTCATTATGGCAGGTATAGGCCAATGTAAATCACATATTCAAAGCTCAAACAATTTGCATCAAATAATATTTGATCTCCAGTCTATTGTAACTGAATTTCTGACCAAAGAAGCCACAGGCTAGGTTGAAAGCTTTTTGATTAGGCATTTCTTAGGCAATTGTTTGGTGCCTTCCTAAATAGTGGAATGTGTGTGCAAATGTTATGCTGGTGTTAAA